ATATATATGAAAATTCTTCCTTAAAAATGTCATCACCATACTGTACAGTAACTTTGCCAGAATATTTTTCTCCGTGTGGTGCAAGCGGAAAAGCATTAATTGAAACGATGGGAAATTGGATGATAAACCACATTTTCAAGTTGTTTAGGACAGTGGTTTTGATGAAGAACACAATAATTCCACTGTTGGGAATAAAATGCTCTGTGTATTGTACTCCTATCTGGAAGAAATGTCTTTAACTTTTAAAGTATTTGTTTTGAAACAATATCAAAGAGCAGTTTGATGTGAAAATTTTACATTCTGAAACAATTTGCTGCAAGCTTTCTATCTACATTTGATTATAAAAGTCTTGACTTTAGTCATCAGGTGAATTCCGAAACAAAATGACATTTTGTCACTTAAGGGCTTTCGAGACACACTTATGAAACTTCTTTAAAAAATTTAAGTATTTTATTTAAATTGTTTAAGTTGTCAAGTCATATGATGAGTATATTAAAAATATTTACGACTGTATTACGGCACATTTTATAAAATTAAAACTTCTGAAAAAAAGTGATTTTTTTTTTAAAGTTTTCAGCTATAACTGAAACTACTATGCTTGAATAAACTATTAATAAGCTTGAATAAGTATTTTGTATAAGAATATTCTTACTTTAGTTCGTCATTCAAGTTTTTTCGAACTCATTCATCAGAATTTTTTTGATCTATATATTTTTTTAAATATTTAATTTATAACTTGTAACATTTTTATTATTATATACATTTTTCTTGCATATTTCACAAGCAAATTATGTTGGTCTTTCAGAATGTACTTCACGCTAAGTCTGACGCATGAGAAAAAGATAAGTTGTATGACCTTTGTATAAACACAACAAATTCTCATGTGGAAATGGGAAGGATTTTAAATCATTACTTTTTTAATAATTTGAAAAATTTGAAAAATGCTGTGATTGATCCTTAACACGAACCTAACACCCTTCCTTCCTCGAACAAGCAACTAACCATCTGGATCATGTCTTCTGAGAATGAGAGGGAACAGAAAACCTTAATAACATAATTTAAAAGAGGAAAAAGAAACTGAAAATAGTTTGCTTCTTAATCACTTGATTTTACTTATGATTTTAGTAATTTTTGGCTAAGATTTTTTAAAATCAATTTTCGAAAAATTGGTTCTTCAAAAAAAAAAATTTGTAAAACGTTATCTATATTTTAAATCAAAGCTGAAATTTTAGTAAATCTCCTTCATAGAAATGTTTACAAGTAAGCAATATTAAAAATTCGGTTCTGTACTCAAACAAATTGAATTACTCGTGACAGTTTTAAATTATGCTTGCTTTAAATTAATGAATTCAGAACTACTTTTATAAGACCTGAAATGAAAGAAACATTTGATAAGGAATGCTTACAGATTGAGGAGGAAAAAAATATTATGAATGGTAGCATTGTTTTTCGTGACTGTAGATGTAGAAATTGGTGCTCATTAAATAGTTAAGTTTTATTTTAAATGAAGGAAGAAGAGAAAAATAACTTAGTTAATAATAAAAACATTTTGTACTTTACCTTTTAAATGGTTTTAGCAACAATAATTTTAAATCTGTCTTCAATTAGTGAATAAAAAATTATTGTATCATTCACTTTTATTAATATGTTAAGTGCGTAAAACATGTTAATATACTGCAGCCTTAGTAAAGCGTATTGGGTAGAAAGATGTTATATTTCAAATTAATATTTCTTACACTTGACTATAGTGTACTGGGATATCATTCAACTAGATTTCACATAACCCTTTATTAAACTAAACTAAACTAAACTCAGTGGCGCGGCAGCCCATGGAGGGTCAAGGCCTACTGTGCCCATCTCAGTTTAACCCTTTATTAAGGTTGCTCAAAATATGCATGTTATTGTGGTTAAAAATCAATAAGCATTTTTTTAATACATTGGAAGTAATATTCGAATATTCTTTTTGACATTAAAAGAATTTTTTAATGTTTATGGAATTAATTTTTATGGTTCTTATAATCAGAGAATTTACTTGTATACTTTTACTTGACTAGAAAAAATCTTCTTCTAATTAACATAAAATTTGTATTGTGAGAAAAAAATACATACAGTGTCATGCTTAAGCGGAGGACTTTTTGGAACATTTTAAGAGTTAATTAAGTTAGGAATTTGCTTACAGATGGATCTACCCAGATAGCAATTAAATACTGAAATTTTTTACTTAAAAAAAATATTATTAGAATAAATAACAAAGTATCGTGAATAAATTTTAAAACGATTTAAGCAGACATCTTGGGGTTACAGCCTAGATATCAGTTTTCACATTAAGGCAATTCTTTTTAATTTACCGACGCATGTCTTTCCCTTATCTTTAAAGGGATCTTTATCATTAACTGGAATAGATGGTTTATTAAGAGCAGAACTTAATAAAAAAATTTTACTTCCACTATTTCCGGAATTTTTTGAATTTCCATATTTGAAAATAAAAACCCCTCAACGTTCTTTTTGCATACTGGTGGGTTCATATTTGAAAATACGTAGCAATATTTTAAAATATGCTACATTGCTTCATAAATAGAGCCCTTTTTAATATCATAAAGTCTTTTTTATTAAAATATTTATGAAAATTATATCTTCAAAAAATGTAATTTTTCAGTTCTGGGAAGTCATAAGAATCTGAAGTTACCATTTAAGTTACAAATATGTATAAAAATTTCCAATCGATTAAATGATTCTCTGTCAATTACACGTTCACAATCAATTACACGTTGTCAATTACAGAGAAACAAATTTTTGTTTCTTACTTCAACAATACTTCGTTTCATAAAGCTTATAAATCAACTTACTTTTTGATATATATTGGCTTCAGAGATATGTTAGTCCAAAAACCATGCTTCTTAAAGTCAATGTTTAGTATTTTATTGTTCAGTCAACCTTAGACAGTTAAACTTTAATGAATGTTGCTTTGTAACTAATCACTTAATTCCTAAACTATCAGTTAAAAAAATTTCTCTCTATATATTTTTAAATGTGGCAAAGATGCTTCGCTTAAGGAAAATAATTTTAAAATTCCATAAAAGTAAGAAAAAAATTGAAAACGTTTAATTTTAGAGACAATTTGAACTTTTCGAATCAGTAAAAAGTAGGCAGTTCATAAGATTAATGTTTAGTTACCTAGGGCTAACGATCAACTATTGAAAACGAAAACAAAATTTTTAAGACCGAATCTGAATAAATTCAAAACATTTTTAGACCGTAATTTGATGTTTAGTTAACCTTTTAACTTTTGAATCTGTTTTCCCCCCTAAAAAAACGGTTATTGTTTGTCTTTGCAATAGAAAAACTCTATTTAAAATTTGACATGAAAACGAACGTAACATTAGACATAATGACAATTGATTATAAAGATTTGAACAAATCTGCCGATAACTATTTATTTGTTTATTTTATTACCATTTTGAATAAAATACCCATGAATCCAGACAGTTTATAATTTACAGACAGTTTATAACTTACGCTTCCAAGTTAGGTTGTAAACAAGATTCGAAATTAAGTCATAAATATTTATGCTTAATCTCCGATGGAAAAAAAAATAATATGCTGTACGACACAAAACTCCCATTAACCCTTTTAAATATAGGCAGAAACATTAAGCATTAAATGCATCAGCAAAAAAAAGGAAGGAAAAAAAAAAAACGAAGAAAGACTTACCTTTGACAGGTTGTCCTGGCGTCCCATCTGTGATTGTCATAGTNAAATTCGAACTTTTCGAATCAGTAAAAAGTAGGCAGTTCATAAGATTAATGTTTAGTTACCTAGGGTTAACTATCAACTATTGAAAACGAAAACAAAATATATAAGACAGAATCTGAATAAATTCAAAACATTTTTAGACCGTAATTTGACGTTTAGTTAACCTTTTAACTTTTGAATATGTTTTTCCCCCTAAAATTCGAACTTTTCGAATCAGTAAAAAGTAGGCAGCTCATAAGATTGTTTAGTTACCTAGGGCTAACGATCAACTATTGAAAACGAAAACAAAATTTTTAAGACCGAATCTGAATAAATTCAAAAAATTTTTTGACCGTAATTTGATGTTTAGTTAACCTTTTAACTTTTGAATCTGTTTTTCCCCCTAAAAAAACGGTTATTATTTGTTTTTGCAATAGAAAAACTCTATTTAAAATTTGACATAAAAATGAACATAACATTAGACATAATGACAATTGACTATAAAGATTTGCACAAATCTGCCGATAACTATTTATTTGTTTATTTTATTGCCATTTTGAATAAAATACCCATGTATCCAGACAGTTTATAATTTAACAATATATCTGAGTCTTTAAAAACTTACGCTTCCAAGTTAGGTTATAAATAAGATTCGAAATTAAGTCATAAATATTTATGCTTAATCTCCGATGAAAAAAAAAATAATACGCTGTAAGGCGCAAAACTCCCTTTAACCCTTTTAAATATAGGCAGAAACATTAAGCATAAAATGCATCAGCAAAAAAAAAAGAAGAAAAAGAAAAAAGAAAGACTTACCTTTGACAGGTTGTCCTGGCGTCCCATCTGTGATTGTCATAGTGTTCGTGATGACAGTATTTGGTACTGTTCCTGCCATATCTTTATGACAGACATTAGCAGTTGCGTTTTCACCTGTCCTAGCTATAGGTCTCACACACAAGGTTCCATTTACAGGTGACCTTATTGGATTGCAATTGGATGGCGTGCCTGACTTTTGTGTCATTTCAAGCCTTAGCTTGCACACCACATTTGGAATGACAATAGAATCTGGTGTCATCGCACCGTTTGGTAGGGAGGCGCACTCATATTCTCCATTACCACCAGCTGGTGAACAAGAGTTTGATATATTTGTAGGGGTGTACGATTTCTTACTCTCTGGGCATGACAAGTTTAACGGTTGTTCCACCGTGGATCGAGACTCTTGGTGGAGGTGTATCAAAGGCTGTTTTGGCACACAGTTACCATTCATCAATGGAGTAGTTTCTTGAGAAGGTGGAGGACTCATCGTCATGGAGCAGTAATGATTGTTAACTATTTCTGGAGATATTCTTTCACGAAAACCAAGAATATCTGCTATGAAATGCGGCGTAGGATGTCTTGGTGGTTTGGCATAAACGTGAGGGTGCCATGTTCTGACTGTTGTAACTGGGGGTAATTGACCAGGAGGTGAAGCCAACTGCTGAGAGTGCAGTTGATGATGGTTGTGAAACGGTGAAGAGGAATCTGACCCACAGCCATTGGCTTGGTGCATCATGTAATATTCTTGCATTTGAAAGAGGTTGTTGACCAGATTTTAAACAAATTTTACGTTCTTAGCTGTAAGAATTCTATATACTCATGTAGAATGGTATCTTATCATTATCATATGCCATCATATGAAGAGATTAATTAAAACCCTTCATGTCTCTTTAAATGTTCCAACAGTTTAGGTATTATCGTGTTTTCATTATTCAATCTGATTTAATAAATTCGCAAAATAAATTATCTTTTTTTTGTTTATTTCCACTGTATTTTAAAACCGATACTATCCTCAAAATACTAATGGTACTATGTTTCAAAATATAACAAGATGACAAATTTAATAGCTAAATCCATTTATATCACGACACATTAATGGAGGTATAACTAAACATCAACAATTCGTCACGCACCAAAACCTACTGGAGCTTGTCAATGGCGAAAAGCGTTTTCATTAAGAGCAGCCTTCGAGATATGTCTGTTGTTTCCGAAACCTCTGACGCAACTGATGAAGAACACGAGGAGCTTGCTTTGGAATCGTAAAAAGGGAGAGGGATGGGCATGGATAGGGGGCGCGGAGGTGGAGTTCCCTGAGTGTGGGGGGATATTTCGGGGGGAAGCAATAATCCTCGCGCCCAATCAATAGAGAGGGGCAGGTTTCTGGCAAGATACTTCGGGAAAATGTCTTAATTTAAATGCGCGGCAATTAATACTGAATCACTTGATACCACAAAACTTGAGTGAGCATCATTTCAAATCAAAATATAGCTATTTGTATATTGGTGAGGGGGTATGATTTTAAAATAAAGTTTTGTTTTGGCGGTAGTTTAGGCGATTTCCTGCCAAATTGTGGAAGGGGAGTTCGGTAGTATCATTTGACGTATTATCGATAACTCTTCCGGAGAAGTTATGGAGAATGAGGGATGAAAAAACGTTATATCCGTTGGAACACGGTTCTGCGATGGAAGGAGATGTTTTTCCTTTTGAGAATTACACCGACGTATCAACTGGAGTTGCCAGATAAAAAGAAAGATGGAAATAAGTCTATCAGGGAGTTGAGGGAATAAATTGTCTTGCGAAAAGCGAGTCGTATAAGTTAAATCTAAAATGCTTTCATTTGGGATTTTAAGTACGGAGAGCTAATTATTATTGTACTTGGTCGATAAGAAAAATGATAATCTGGTTTGATTTTCAGTTTGAATTGTTTGAAAGTTTATGAAACAAAGATGTATATTAGTAATCATTATACTTATAGGATGTTTTCCTTAAATAAAGTACATAAAAAAATCTTTCTAAGTACGAACTTTCTTTTTTGTTGAAATATTACCTATGAAATTAAAAGTTAATCTACACTGTAAAAAATTCCGAATCTAATTACGGTAAAATCCCCTTTGACCGTAAATTTCCTTTCACAGGACCATGTTACGGAACAAAAAAACTAAAATATATCATAATTTTTACAGTAAGATCACTAAATCAAACTAAATAAATATTAATTTTAAAATTACGGTATATATATATATATAAGCCTTAGCTTGCACACCACATTTGGAATGACAATAGAATCTGGTGTCANTATATATATATATAAAATTTATGGTGTTGTTGAACAAGGAATGGAGTAATTTGATTTATTCTTTCGACATTCGTTTTTTAAATTTAAAAGATTATTTGGGTTTTTATGTTTCCGATTAAAACTCATATAATTAAAACTCATCATCATATTGCAATTTTTTATGTTATGTTTTTATGTTATCATTTCAGTGAGTATGATTATGTGTGCAAATAGGAAAACCTATTTAACACGCATATTATTAGTCACTAAAAACTTGAATGCGATCTAATACTTTAATAATTACTTAAAGTTGAAAAGTATTATCATTAATTACTTAATAGCAATAGATTTCAACATAAGAATAGTCAACTATTTATCCAAAGATAATTAAAAATCATCATTTGTTGCCAAAATTCGTATCACACTGAATTTGGTTAGCTTGGTTGTGGGCTTTTGAAAATCAGTTATTGTGTAGTCACATACTGAATTATAATTTTTTTAAATTCTTTTGAATGATCTTTCATTTGTATGTCTTCTTTAGCTTTTCATTAATTTTATTGGAGTAATACTCTCCTATTTTTAATGATTTTAGTTTTTTAGGGTATCTTAAGCATTTTAGTATTAATTTTCAACATCTTAATGTTTATTCCTTACATAAAATCGTACCAGTGGGAAAATCTTTGAAGATAGAGTAAAAATATTAAAGAAAGGTTGTGGATTATATATGGAAAATATTAAAGCTATTTATTGTGGATTTTTTTAATCAACCACAAACTTCTTTCGATATAGAATAAGGAATCATTTGCAACAATTAAAATAAGAATCAGGAATTATATTAAAAATAAAATTGAGAATTATAATAAAAAAAGCAAAAAAAAAAAAAAAAAAAATTAGCAATTTATAAATGCAAATCAAAATCTTTCAAAGCAATTTTTCAAACTTAATGCCTGTCATTTATAGAAAATCCTAAAAAGAAACAGTAAAAAAGTTTATTCTTTTTCCTTATAAAGGTTCATAAATAACTGTATTTTATAATACTAATTTTAAAAGTGAAAATTTCTGGCTAAATGTTCGACTAATACAGTATATATATTTTTAAGAGCGGCAAGAAAAATATATCTGAACGTTGTGATTTAGGGATGAAAAAAAAAAGGTTTAAAATAAAAAAATACGTAATAAAGTTAAAAATTGTAAAAGCAAAATCTTTTGAAGTGACGATGAAAAAAACTGCGGCAATTGACTAAGTTAAAATCCTTTATTTCATTGGCTTTTATTTTACAATGTGTTTATATCATTTATATGAAGAAAATATTTGTGTAAAATTTCTAACAAAATGCATGAAATGGTAAAGGTGATGCTACAAAGTATTAATTACTTAATTGTAATAGGAATAAAAATTCCAAGTTTGACAACATGTAGGAACAATGCACATTATTGATAACAATGTATATCAAATACTAAAATATCTCAACAAAGAAATTAATGACTTTAACTATAGAATACTATTAAATTGACATCATTATCGATCACATAACATATCAAAAATATATAATCGCAAACACACGATGATGATTGAATATGATATTGTGAGATTTGATAAGTTTTAATTGGTCAACAAAATTATTGACCAATGTAAAAATAATATTAATCAGTTAAATGGGAGAATATCACGATGTATTGTTAAATGTTATTATTTTCTGACAATGCATAGCAATTTTAATATTTTGCACTTTTTGGTTATACCAGTGTTTCTGTTGGCGTATACTCAGAAAAATGGTTCATTTAAGCTCATTATATCAAATATTGCTGTGTGAAAAAATCTCCCTCACATTTATCATATTCCATGTATACCAGATACCCTTTTCCTATTTCTGAAGAATTATACGACTAAATTATACGAAATAGGAGCAGCTACAAGCTTTGGAAATGGTTTGTCTTTTTTGCAGTGTTCTTTTTTCACGTAGTAGTACTTTTGGCTTTGTAAGTAAAATAAGAAAAGAATGAAACAGCAGACTGCTTATTATAGATTATTTCACTATAAAAGTAAATAATACCTCGTACTTTTCTTTAGTTATTCATTTAAAAAAAAATATTGTTCACTTATTACCTATAGGCGAAATAGGTCTTGTTTTGGGTTTGATGGCTTGCGCTCTTTATTTGGACGTTATCACACTTTTCAACTGTGTCTAAGAGTAGTAGTAAATAGTTCGCAGGCGTCGTCATTGCATGCGTTGCTGTGGCAACCGCTGCTGTTTGATAATTTTTTTTTAGAATTCTCTTATTCTTTTTATTTTCATCCGCAGTCATTCTTAATGTATTTACATAATAATAATTTTTATATTCTTTTTATTATTAACTTATAATTACTCTCTTGATGGTGATTTTAATGTAAATATGAATACTGAGGAATGAAAAGTATTTTGTGACATCTTGAAACACGTATACAGTCAGGATTTAGAAACCAATCAGACGACAAACATTAATTGAGACAGATTTTGCTACCCATGATTTGAAATGTTGTGACGTTTATCGGAGTCAAACCAGAAAAAAAGCCTTTAAACCAGTAGGTAACCAGTGATGCAATCAAAAAAAATTTTTTTACTTATTTTTTGTAACTTTTTTTTTTGCTTTTAAAATTTTGAAGAGAAGCAAAATACTTTAATTGGGTAAGTTAAAAATTTCAAAATATTTAGCACCATAAAAAATTAAAAAAAAAAAAAAAGGAAAACGTAAATAAGCTATTTAATTAAATCTCAGGACATACAAGCTTTTTAAAAAATACGTGACATTTTTTATCGAGCAACAAAATCCTTAACAAAACATTCAAAACTAAAAACCCATTAAATATCATCTTTATAAAAATCTAATGGCCCTTTTTTTTCACACCCAAAGAATACAAATAAACCTCAATCCAGAAGGACCTTTTATTACTGTTCGCAAAAGCTTACTTTTTGAAACGGTTGTAGTGCGAGATGAGATTTTAGTCATCAGAGCTCGCCTTTTCCCGAACTTTAATCCACTTAACTCGTGATATCATTTCTGAACTGACCTCCTTTTTTCCCCATTTTTTTTCCCTTTTCAATGGATAGCACATCGACTATTCCCAAGTGTTAGTGTTCTCAGAAGCGCTGGCGCTATTATGGCTAACGTTTCAAGGGATTCCCTGTGGGCCCTGTAGATCCCTTTTCCCTGCTTAGTCCTACGAGGAAGCCTTTCTCGCGTGACAAGAAGACTATAACTTGATTTGTTGGGGTTGCTATATTTCTATATTACTCATACATTTTGGCGGTGAAAGGATACTGGCGGAAATGATCGAGCGACTCTGCTGCCGTTTAATAGAATAGCCCAATTGATTTACCTAGTTGTCTTTTGTATTCGAAATCGATTGCTAGAGAGAAGGTTGCTTCGCTATTTTTTAGTAAAGGAAAATGGAGGTTTATGTTTCCCTTACTTGCGCTATTGTCCTTAATTTGAATTTAAATGCCTATGTCTTTTTATGTATTTAAAAGATAACACTTATTCGTATTCATTTTATGCAGGGAGGAAAAAAAATAGCCCATTGTGCAGCTCTAGTGCGACGTAAATTAACAACAACAGCAGGGAGAAAAAAAAATTATGGTAAAATTACCGGATTGTAATCTAATATCAAATACCAGATTGTAAACTAATGAAATTTCTGGTAAAAGAAACTAATTCCGATTGATTATGATAATTATGGTATCTGGTAATTATGGTTGTACAAAATACAATACAAAACAATACAATACAATATAAAAATATGTGGTCGTACCTGATTTAAAACATTTTGCTTCAAAAATATATGGATAGCAAATAAGTCATATAACGACCTTTTTAAAAAATAAAGTTTACAAAAATATATATGAATAGCAAATAACGACTGTTATTTATATGCATTTGAAGCGAATGAAGTTTTTAATTAGGTAATATCTTCCG